TACAGGTACAGCGCACAGCAGGTAGAGGGGCCTGGATCAGAGTAAATGCTCAATAGATACCATTCACTCACTCACTCACTTATCTCAGAAACTATTCTGAGGGCATATCAGTGTACAAGACAGGCCAAATGTCCTGTCCTTCCGGGGCTTGCCGTCTCCCCAGGGTGGATATTGGGGGAGGAGACAAACAACAAACAAGAAGCAGGATAAATAATGAAATGGAATGCTACATTAGGAGGTCAGAGTGCTATGGGAAAAAGAAAAAGTACAACAGGGAGACTATTACCTTTTCCCCCAGAATTTGGGTAAGTTTACTCTTACTCATGTCTCCCTTCTAAGGAAAAGAATAAACCTCTTTTGCCTCAGGCCATGCCTGATGACAGCTGCGTCTCCTCCCAATGTATCTGACACCAATGCCGGTGACTAGGTTTTAGCAGATTCACTCATGTGTTCCTTCCACCAGCAGATATTTATGGAGCACCTGATTATGGGATGCTCAGCGTGACTCAGAAGTTCTTGTCCTGAAGGGTCTTGCAAGTGACGAAATTGCTGCATATGATCAGGCTTTGGAGAAGGGCGGGCAGGTGCGGTGGCGAGCAGGGGGCAGTGTGTGCCCTGCACGGTGTGCACCAGCCCGTGGTGCCAGCCCCTCCCTGGACTCGGGGCTGATCCACTGCAGCTTTCTTTGGCTGTTTTCTTCTGGTAAGTTGATGGATTTCCCTAATTTAGTATTAAAGGGAGGGAAAATATGCATTGTTATTTCTGAGGGGGGAAGAGATATTTTCTAAGTTGGGCTTTGAGCAAAATCAAGGCCTGGGATCCCCCATCTCACCCCACCCCCTCAGAGGGGGAAGGGATGCTGTGACCATCTATCCCAGGGGTCCTCAAACTACGGCCCGCGGGCCACATGCAAATACAAATATTGTATTTGTTCCCGTTTTGTTTTTTTACTTCAAAATAAGATATGTGCAGTGTGCACAGGAATTTGTTCATAGTTTTTTTTAAACTATAGTCCGGCCCTCCAACGGTCTGAGGGACAGTGAACTGGCCCCCTGTTTAAAAAGTTTGAGGACCCCTGATCTATCCAGTTGTGTGCCCAGCCTGTGATGTTTATAGGCCTCCCCACCCTATAGTGTGGCCTCTGCTGCCCTTATTTAAAGGCCGGCCTGATCCTGGAAGAGCAGTGAAGGCAGAGAGGCCCCTTGCTGCAGATCCCACAGCTGTGGGAAAGGAGGTGGCCCTGATGCCTCCGGGGCGTGACTTCTTGAATGCAGAGGAGGAGAGACCCAAGTCTGCGGGAGGCTTGGCCACATGGCTAGGAAGCCCAGGCCGTGTGTGTCTGACCACAGAAGCAGACACGCCACCTTGGGGTTTGGAGCTGGGAACAGACCGTTCTCTCCACAGTCACCGCTCACATGGACCACAGTGATCTCGCCTGCACCCGGCCCCCTCAGCTGCTGAGTCATGCTCCCTGGGGTTTGCAGAGGCGAAGCTCCAAAGCAGGCTGAGTCATTAGATGATGAATTGTGGAATTCTTATTCAGGCTGTCACCACGGCAGCAGTAGGCCCTGATCCACACCTCCTGTTCCCCCACCAAGCCTCTCAAAACATTCTCCCCTCACTTGTCATTCCATCTTCATCTTGGGGGGCCCTGACAGTGAGCACAAGACAGCAGTGGGATGCGTAGGGGTATCCCTGAGCTTCCCTTCTTGTGTCTGGATTCTGGACCTATTATAGCGACAGGGGTCTGGTCTGTTAGCTCAGGAAAGAACCTCAGATCTCATTTTGTTCAACTCATCGGCGAACAAGGAAATAGGAGACACATGCTCGGGATTTAGAGCTGTTTGGAAGGTCAGCTTTGGAGTCAGAATCTAAATTTACTTCGCATGAGCAAGTCTCGCCAGGCTTCCGTGTCCTTGTCTGTCAAATAATGTTAATGTTCCTACTTTGTAGGGGTTGAGGCTGCTGGAAGTCATGGGTGAAAAGCACAGGGAGGTGGGTGCTCAATTAGATGGGAGCCTGAGGCTGTGTGAATTAGAAATGAAGACCTGAGGTCTTTCTTCTTCCTGCTCAGGACACTCAGAGGGGAGGGGCAGGAGAATGGGGGGTGGGGGGTGGGGGGGAGGAAGAGGCTTTGGAGACAGATCAGAGGAGGGAGGGTGGGTTGTGCCAGCAGGCAGATATTCCTACAGCCTGATACCTCCCAGCCCTGCAGGGGCCACTGTGAGCTTGCAAATGCAGCATGCTAGAAGGTATTCACGATGTTCATTTGGTTTCTCCCAAACAGAACGCCAGCAGAGATCAGTAGTGGGCACAGCTACCCTGACCTGGGCTCATCACCCAGTCATACCTCACCTGAGCGTTCCTGTGTGCAGTCCCGCTAGGCCAGATCACCTGCTGGCTCCCACCAAGCCTTAGCCTGGAAGGTACACCTTTTCGCCTACAGGGCCCCTCTGCTACAAGCAGGAGTGGCCCAGGACAAGGGTGGGACCACAGATGGTGACCATGCCTCCCAAGTACTGGGTTGGCATCTTTGGAGCTACAACAGGGGTGGCCATGATATATTTTCCCTTTGCCATCTGGGCCTGGGTGTTAATAGTCCCCCCTACCCATGAACCACCCGAGAAAAGGTTCAACATTTTAAAAAGAATTTATTCAGCAACAGGATAAAGATATAAACACAACTGAAGGAATGAGAGTTTACAGCACATTTTTCAGCCCATTTCAACTAAAAGAAATTTACTGGGCTGACGCCATAGATAACGAAGCCCCAGTTACAATTTCAACCCTCTCTCTTGGCTGATACGCCAATCAGTCCAAATGTTCTCCCGAGACAAGTCAGGCTGCCTTCTAAAACCTCCCCAAGGCTACTTCCTGATCGCCTCTTTATACACAGGCCCTTCTCTATTTGGTCCCAAAGATTCCTCACCTGGGGCTTCAGGTGAGGTCCACCCTGACCCTGCTGCACCTTACCCACTCCCGCAACCAAAGGCATCTGTGGTCCCTCAAAGATCCTTTTTTGCTTTTGTCCTGATCCATTTAACTAAACTATACTCACTCACCAGTTGGGTAGGATGGTTCTGCTACCTCTGGTCAAGTTACTAATCTTCCTAAACCTGCATCGGAACTTGGTCTACCTCTTGCAAGGAACATTTTTGCGTGCTCTCTCTGGTAGCTCTCTACTCCAGCTAGTCCAAGACTGCATTCTCCCCAAAACAGAACTCTGGACCCTTGTCCAGTCTCCCATTTAATTCATGGGATAACTCTAACTCCCAGCTGACCTGCCAAGGAGAGATGGTCAAGTCCCTTGATCTTGACACCCACCTACCCAGCTCAGGTCACCGACCTCACCAATTTTCTTGGAAGATCTGCCTTCTCTCTTGGACTCTGCCCCTGTGGAATTTTATCTCTGTAGATTTATTATATAACATGGCTTTATAGACACAGTAATAATAAGACTACAATGAAAGGAGAGCTATTCCCTCCCAAATTGTATTTTCTCTAGATTATCAAGAGATTAGGCCACTCTCGCCATTTTGAACCTCTAGGAATCTACGGTTATCAGTCCTTCATTAGTAGTCTGGTTCTCAGCTGGCTTTTCGGAATAGCATCGCATCTTAGCAAGCTGGCCATTGGTCCCTTCTGCTCCTATAGTCACGGTTGTGTTATAGTACATGGCATCTTCAAATAACTGCTGGAATGAAAAATAAAAGTCTTCTCCAAAGGAAAAGAAGGTAACCGCTCTACGCAATGTCGAGCTTTTATCTGCAATATGTGCACATAACATCCCATTCAAGCTTACACTGATGTAAGAGTATTATGTTAGTACAAGTGAGCTGAACTTTTTTCTAACCAATACCTCGGATTTGAGCTTTATGGCATACAAAATACAAATAATTCTACTTCTCACCCAGTCCTCACAACCCTGTGAGGTGGGCATGGTGGGTAGTATTATCCCCACTTAACTGATGTAGAAACGAGGTGCAGAGAGGTTAGGGAGCTAGACCAAGATATAGTTATTAAGTGGAAGAGCCAGTACTCAACCCAGGTCTCTGCTTCTTCATTCACTTTTTTAGGTGCAAAGTACTAGTATATGAAAGAGGTTTTCTGCTCCCTTTCTCCCTACCTGAATGAATGGCATTCTCCTTTCACCAGTACATGCACCAGCTGGAGAGTTCCAAACGGGAAGAGGAATGACTGACCAAGTTAACTGTCGTGGTCCAGTGGGGATGGGGGCGTATCTTTCACAATGTTCCTGATTGCTTAAGATCTGTAGTTTAACCAAGAACTCTTTCCCTCGCTGCTGAGTGGCGCTTTCTGTGGGTTTCGTTAAGATTCCCAGGTCACAGTTAAGATGCTGGGATTTTACCTCTAAGTTGGCTCAATGCTATACTCCCCATCTATTTCATATTTTGCCAGTGTTCTGTGCCTTCCCACCCCTACCCCTTAATGAGGAAAATTTAGAATTTCTGTCAATCTTCCAATGCCTGGTTTTCCGGGATGCTTACAGCTTCTGGAAAAGTCACGTGGCTCCTGTATGTCTGGAGCATCGGGATTTCTTCTTGTAGTCAGGTGGCATTTCCTTTCTAAAGGTCTCTATTCCTGGTTTGCCTCCTGGGTGAGCCGCTTGGCTGGAGCCATTTCACCAGCCAGGTCCTCGGCATATGGTTCCTATACAGCTCTGTAGAGCTGCTGCTCCAACCTGAAGATGTGTGATCCCCAGGTTCCCCTCCACACACATAAGCAGGACACCCCAATCTCAACTCTTTTGTGACTGGGAGCTGGGCCACGCCGCCCCACTGTCCCCTCCCCAAGCATATGGTGGACTGTGTCCACAGTGTCCCCCTGCTGGAGATTTCCCATAAGCCAAGGTTTTGGACAACTTGGTTGGGTAGGGGCTATGTCATTTAAGGTGGCAAATCTCTGGTATCTTACCACTGTCCCATCCCCTTTCACAGCTATTAATTCATTTCACACATGGCTTATGGGAAGGGAACTATGAGCCATCTTTTTGTTAACTCTGCAGACAGAGCTGCAAAGACAGACCCTCCCCACCAATGCAACTCACCCGACACTAGTTGGTTCCTTAGAACCACCACTTGGTTTCCAGTTGGTCTGAATTAGTTGGCAAACTCAACAAGACCTTCCCCTGCCTTCTGAGCACTCCACAATGATCTCCCTTAAGGGATCACTGACCTTGGTAACCCTTCCCATAGAGGGCTCCTTGGTCAGTCACCAAATAGACCCCTGCTCTGATGGCCTTTCTCCCTGCCACGCCCGGCCAGCTGGTACTCTCCCCCTGACTCCTGCCCCTCTTCTATCAGAACAGTCTCATTTGTGCTAAGAGACATATCCATTCGCAAATCCAGGAGCTCTTCTTGAATATCATTTATAGAGGTGTATTTTTAAAGTAAATATTCAAGCATATGTTACTTAATGGACAAAAATAACTAAGTAGTAATGTGCATATACGAGTAACAACAGCACAAAATAACTCAGAAAGAACCCAATCTCCCAAATCACTGACTATTTACATATTTTGAACCTATTTCCACTTGGTAATGATTCAGACATGCTTTCACCTTGTTGCAATCATCATGTGATCATAATCCGAATTCTCTTTTGCCTTGTGATTACATCACACAACATATTCTTGTAAATAGTTTTCATAGTTATCATATATGAAGGCAGTAGCTCATTGTCCTAACAGACCACAATCTACTTAGCTGTCCCCCACAGCTGAGCAGTTCCAGTCAAGACTGTAATTTATAGGGTGGCCACAAATACCTCTGTGCAAATACTTTTTTCTTTTGAATTATTTTCCCAGAACGTATTCCCCAAAGTGAGATAACTGAGTTTTACAGTCATTTTTTTTTTTGTACTCTTGTCAAGTATTGCTAAAATTCTCTCCAGGAAGCACCATTTTATAGTGCCAGGAGTCTGTTTCTCCACGACATATTTTAAAAATGTATTTCTGACACATGAAAGCGGCTGACTTTTAAAAATCGTTTTGCTTAGTAGTCTTGGCCTGTGCACGTTTCCTCCTGGGCACACAGCCTATTTGGTCCTCTGACCAAGTAAGATATGTTGGTCACTGCATATATGCAGGCTCAGCTCTTACTCAGATCAATTCTACATATGCAGTCTTCTCATCTTATTGTTTTTTAAAATCTTCGTTCTTTGCTGTACACATTTCAATTTTTATATAATTGAATTTGTTCACCTGGCCTTGAAGATTTCCCCCATCACATCAATAAACAAGCAATACGTCCCCTCCTCCATGCTCTGCGCTTTCGATTTGGACTTGTCCTAATTCCCCTGGTTCCCTCGAACACTCCATTGTCCATGATCCTAACATTACGATTCCCTCAGGTCATCTCTCGACAGCCCCTGGCTAAACACGTCCACCTCAGTTCCACCATTGCCATGACCTACGCAAAGAACCCGTGGTTGTGGTTCACCTCCAAGGTCCTTCCCTCCGGTTTTCACTCCTCCACCATCCTAGCCCCACTACAACTTCTTAGGGTTTCCAGCCATTGTCTCCCCAATCCCACAGCAGGCCTCTAGGGTTGGGTTGTTGGCCCCGGCAGCAGTGGCCTACCGAAGGACACATTCCCTCACCCCTTAGTTCAGCCAATGAAAGCCAACATTTCTCCAACGGAATTTTGCTGGAAAACTAAGAGGAAACTAAATATAGACTCCAGGAAATGTAAAGATATAAACACAGAAGAGATCCTACATAAGTCTTGGCTCAGAGGTGGCAGGGGCACCTGGGGTCCCTTCTCTCACACTCAGAACCCCGGGTATCAGACTCTGACCCTGCCAGGTTGTCTTCCAGCAGCACATTCTCTTTGTGGACTTTGAGGTAAACCCCTCTTAGTCCGGGCTGGCCCTGCACTTGGTAGCCCATGAAGCCCATCCCATACTGCATGGGGGACGCTATTATCAGAGAAGCCTGCACTCCTGCCCACGGCTGTGGGAGATGCCATGAACTGCCGTTTTGAAATCCCAGGCCTCTTCTGACCTGGCGTGTCCCTGTCCCAATCCGGGGAGAGCCAGTTCAGAGGCATGTGCCTGACACACCCTGAGACCTTGTGGGCTCGGAGGACTTCTGCCCACCTCCCCAAAGACTCCCGCTGGGCTCCTCCACCAGGAATTGTTTCGAAGAATGCAAATTAGGACAAGCTTACCAATCTCAGAGACTTAAACTATAACAAGAGTAGCAGAGGGGGTGGCGGTGATGGTGGGGGCAGTCACCCACAAAAAGCAAGAGGTGGTTTACTCCCAGCACCCTGCCAGTCCCTCCTCCTCTGCTTCTGGGAACTTTGGTCATGCCCCACGCCTTGGTCCCTAACTCTGCACACCCAAAACGGGGTTGGCAGTGTGGCATGTTACAGGGAAAGGTTGCCAACACCTGCCCTCTGGGAAAATGCCTCGTCCACCACCTCCCATGATAACCCTGCCCCACTCCCTCCCCAATCCCACCCAGTTCCACCCCAGGCCCAGTCCTTTAACTGTCAGGAGAGCGGACCCGAAAGATGTGGATGGTCCCGTTACTGAGGGACACGACCAAGTACCTGCCGTCCACCATGGTGGTCACCCGGGGCTTTTCCAGGCCATGATAGGCTGTCAGGAAGTCGCCTAGCAATGACCCCTTCGGGTCCAGGATCACCACCTTGTTGACCTCTCGGAGGGTCAAAAAAATATAGCCCTTCTTATCCACAGACACGGAGCCTGGCTGGCAGCCATGCAAGCCTGGTCCTCCGTACTCCCCAATCACCTGACCCAGCCCATCACAGACTACCACACTATTCTGCTGCCAATCTGACCCCACAAAATTGCCCTGGGGACTGGTGGTCAGAAACACCAGTGCCCGAAGGCCTCGGTTGGCCTTGCCCCCCGGGATGAAGCGGGTGGCCAGGCTGCCTTCCATGTTGTACACCTCCACGTGCCCCGACACACTGACAGCCACCCGGTCCCCACTCGGCATGGCAGCCACCGCATGGCTGGCCTGGGACAGGCTCAGTGCCCGGCGCCACTGCACCTCACCGTCAGGGCTTATGAGGTACAGCCGAGCCCCAGCTGAGAAGGCCACCGCACCCTGCAAGGCGGCCACGCTGCACGGGGAGCAGCCCTCGGGGACAGGTATAGCGCCTTTGTAGTCGCCATTAAGGGAGAAGCGCTTCAGAGCCCTGTTCTGCTCATCAGCCACCAGGATCTCCCGGGGGCCAAAGGGACAGAGCCCAGTGATCCGGGGAGACCGCTTGTCTCCAGGCATCCGAGTGGGAAAGCTGCAGGAAAAGATGGGCCTGGGGAGGAGGCCAGAGCCCTCCAGGTTGGGCCCGGGCGCAGGGCTGGGCTCCCGGGAAATGGACTTGAGCCTGCCTTTGAATTTCCTCTTCTTGTTGGATCTGCCGCCCCCTGCAGTCTGGACTTCTCCATCCTCTTGAGGCATCTGCGATCTGCCTTCTCTCTGGGCCTGGGCTCTGTCTGTCTTTGGGGTCTGGGCTCCATTTTCCTGGGGAGGCTGGGCTCTGTCCTCTTTTGGGGTCTGGGCTCCATCCCTACTCTGGGGCTGGGCGGCACCTTGTCTCTCCATCTTGGCTCCATCCTCTCTGGGGCTCTGGGCTTCCTCACCTCCCTGGCTCCCAGCTCCATCTTTCCCACTGTCCTTCTGGGACTGCTGATTCTCAAAGGAGAGCCACAGTAGCTGGCTGTTCTTGTCCAGGAGCCCAGGATGGAGCTCCAGCTGGGGCAGCAGACAGGGGGCTGGTCCAGGCATCCAGGGACAATCCTGCAGCTGCCGGAGCCTCTGGGCAATCGCCCCCTCCAGCGAGAGGATCTCGGCCTCGCGACCGAGGCTGAGCACCCGACGGGCAAAGGCAGCGGCAGCCCGGGCCACCTGCTCCCGGCCCTCCAGCTCTCCCAGCCTTTCCCGAGCAGCCTCCTCGGCAGCCTCCATGTGGGCCTTTAGCTGCCCCAGCACCTCCTTCTTCTGGGCCAGGAGGGCCCGGAGAAGCCCCGCAGCAGCCTCCTCCACCTGTGTCCCCACCCTGGTCGCTTGCTCCCGCAGGCGGGTTAAGGCTTCCTTTTCCACCATCCGGGCAGCCTCTAGCTCGGCCAGGTTCTTGTCCACACCTGCTAGTAACTCCTCAAGGCCTGGTCTTCGGGCACGCACAGCTTCAGCCAGGGGCAGGCAGGGGTGATCCAGGTGGGGATCCAGGCGACACTCACGGCACAGTAGCTGGGAACAGGGCTGGCACAGGAAGCGCAGGGCCTCTCCTGGGTGCTGGGGGCACTGGGCTGCCTGGCGCTCCCGGGCCTCCTCGTCATACCACCCTGCCCTGTAGCCCACCAGGTCCACCACTCGGTGGGTGTGAGTCTGTCGGGTGCAGCGGTGCCCATCGGCACAGGCCTGGCACAGGTCATCAGCACAGTCTAGGCACCGGGCTGTGGCTGGCCCCCCGGCACTGGCACCCCCCATCAGAGGGCACAGCGCACAGGCTGGCTTTCCTGCGTGCAGGTCTCCACCAGCCCGAGCCCTCACCAAATCCAGGAGCCCATTGACAAAGAAGTTGGTCTTGAAGGCGGCCACGCCAGCGGGTGGCACTGGCACGGTCTCGCGGCACTCAGGGCATCGGAGGTGGCCGCCCTCGGCCAGCTGGGCAAGGCAGTCCTGGCAATAGGTATGCAAGCAGGGCAAGGTTTTGGGTGCCCGCAGCTGCTCCAGGCAGATTTTACAGGCCAGGAAGTCGCTGCTCAGGGCCTCCAGGAGGGAGGGTGAGGATCCTTGGGACATCATGCTGCAAGCCAAGAGTCAGGATTAGCAGAACACGCCACCAGCCTGCCCTCCTGCCTCTCCCGCTATGCTCAAGCCCCACCAGGACTGGAGAATCACCTGGATGGCCAGGAATTTTCTTCTGGTCTTCTGAGTTCTCTGTCCATTTGCTCTTGAGCCAGGGAGATGCCCTCCTCCTTGCATACATTCAGCAAATATGAAAAAAGTCAGTGCTGCTTGCATGTGTTAAGAGATATAAGAAATGACAAGACCAAGAAGAGAAACCCCTGGCCTCAGAGAGCTAACAGAGTAACGACAAGCCTGGTGGCAAGTGAGACCCAAGCCCCCTGTGTGAATAGGTCCTGGGGATCCTGCTGGGGCTGAGGTGCTGGGTTGGGGGGACACAGCGGAAGGCCCAGGTGGGCGGAGCTGTCTTGACTCCTGGCGATTGGGGCAGTATAAAGGGCCCCAATTTCCCCCGGGCATACACCTGTCTTCTAGACCCTGGGAGTGGCTTCATGGGGAGTGGGGGCCCCACTTCATGCCCTGACTTCCTGAAATGGGTTCTAGAGCAGGCAGCAGGGAGGCTGAGGGAAGGGGCTGCCCTGCCCGCTCCTTCCAGCCGCTGGGCCTGGGGGTCACAGTAGCCTTTGCCTCAACTCCTAGACCAGTGATGGCGAACCTTTTGAGCTTGGCGTGTCAGCATTTTGAAAAACCCTAACTTAACTCTGGTGCCGTGTCACATATAGAAATTTTTTGATATTTGCAACCATAGTAAAACAAAGACTTATATTTTTGATATTTATTTTATATATCTAAATGCCATTTAACAAAGAAAAATCAACCAAAAAAATGAGTTCGCGTGTCACCTCTGACACACGTGTCATAGGTTCGCCATCACTGCCCTAGAGTCCTCTTCTTTCAGTCTTTCCTGCTGCAAGAGGCCCTCTGCTCTCCTAGAAACCTCTGAAGGGTCTGAGATGCGTGAGGCTCATCTGGGCATCCCCCCAGCTCCCAGCACAGTGGCTGTGAAATACTGAAGGGACTTAGGGAATTTCCCCCAAACTTCCGGAAAGTGGGGGCTGGGGACAGAGCTCAGAGAGTGGGAAGGGGTCTTTCCCAGAGAAGCCTCAGACCTCTGGTCCCGTGGGGTGAAGTGGGGGTGCTCCCGCCCAGCCTCCCCTCTCTTCCTGACTTCCGGGTCCCTCTCCCCGCCTCCCCCCTCCCTTCCTCTTCCTCCCGTGCGCTCTCTCCCTTCCCCCAACTCCCTGCAGTTTAGCTCTTCCTTCAGCTCCCCTTCCCCGCCTCTCCTTACCTGGCCTCAGCTGACCCTGGGCTCCAGCACCAGGAGTGGGGGGCCGAGGCCTGGACACGGCTGCGGCAAGGTGCCTGCAAGAGAAACAAAACTGAAACTAACTGTACTTGGCAACTTCCGTCCCAGCTCCGGGACACCGACGAGCACAGCCTCAGGCCCCGCCTTCTTCCCCACCCCGCCAGGACCTCTTCCTGGGGGGCCCCACCCCCATCAGAGCTCGGGCCCCTCCTGGAGGCTCCGGGGTCTGCGGGTCAGGTGTACCCTCAGGACTTGCCCCCAGCTGAGCGTGTTTGTTCCTCTGAGGGGAAAAGTTAGAGATCATCTGTGATTCAGACCCCAGTTCTCAGGCCGGCTTCCAGCGCTGCAGCTTATCTGCAAATCCAGCCCTGGGTGAGGCCCTGGTGGCTTACCCTTCGGCTGAGCTATGGGAGAGCCTGGGGGAACCAGATAAGGGGCCTCCATCCGAGGGGTTCAGCAAAAGCTTCTTGGAGGAGGCGTCACTTGAGATGAGTTTAGAGAGTGACCAGGGGTTCGGGGGTCGCTGGAGAAGAATACAGGGAAGAGTGTTCTGGGAAGAAGGAACAGCCAGTACGTGGACGCAGAGGAATGAAATGGCACGACTCTCCCGGGTGGCTCTAAGTGACCTGGGATGGTTTGTGGGAAGGGGACCTGTGAGTGGTGGCAGATGAGGGTGTAGAAGGAGGCAGCATGGCCAGATCTTAAAGGGCCGTATGAACTGCATGGAGTCTTGCGTTTCATCCAAAAATCTAAAAGGAATCACTGAAGGATATTTCCCCCAACATCTTATGAAAAATTTGAAGCACAAGGAAATTGAAAGAATTGCAACAAACACTCCTATATTCACCACTTGGATTCCGCAGTTAACATTTTTACTATAGTAACTATATGATTCATCATATACCTATTCAGGTACGCACCCCTTCATCCACAATGACAGGGTTTCAGCAGGAAACCCAACTGAGGGGAGCGCACTCGCAGCAGCTGAGAGAATAGAGGAGAGCCTGACTACAGGGCCCAAGTGAAAAATGGGGGGGGGGGGGGTCTGAGCTGACCCCGTTACCGTGCAAGGCAGAAGAAGCCATGGGACTGTGATCAGCCCTGGGAGGGAGGTGAAGGAAGGAGGGCAGGATGCCCACCAGGTTTTGTGGGTCTAGAGGTCAGGAGGGAGGGCTAGGCTGGTGACTTTTTCATACATCTCCCGTGTGTATCTATGGTTTAGACGAGGTCACTCAACAGTGTCCAAAGGGAGAAGAACAGGGCTGAGATGGCACTATGGGGAACACAGACATTTAAGGGCAAGCGGGGGAGGGGTTGGGGCTTGAAGGAGTCTGAAGTAGTTGCCAGAGGGGTAGGTGGGAATCCAAGAGATAGATCACAGGAGTCATCGCTGGAGAATGACCAGTGATGTGGAATGAGACAGACCAGAATGTCAGCCAAGATGAGGACAGAAAAATGTATTGGCATAGGTGTGCCCTGAGGGTATGCACACACCTACACGTGCGCATGGCCTCTGAGTGTGCTTGTTGTGCACATTCAAGAATGATTTGTTAAAAGCCTACTGTGGACAGACAGTGTGCCATGCACTGTGGAATATACAAAGATAAACAAGACATGCTCCCTGCCCACTGAGAGTTTGCAATCTAATAGGGGAGGCGAAATATGTACATGGTGCAATATGAGACAAGTAAGACAAATGTCATATTAAGGTGTCAAAATTATCACCACAACGGCTTCCTTTTCTTGGGTATTTAGCATGAGCTTGACATGGGGTGTTGTAAACATATCCTGATTTAATCCTCACGGTAACCTGGTGAGATAAGTATCATTATTGCCTTCATTTTACAGGTGAGGAAACTGAGTTAGAGGGAGAAAAAGTGATTCACTCGAGGAAGCCACATAAGTGCTATGATGATCCGAACGAAGGAGAATTTATCTGCTCCTGGAATGGTGGTGGTGGTATAGAAATCAGGAAGGCTTCCTGAAAGAGGAGACATTACAGTTACTGTCCTACCCAGCCTCCCTTAATGTTGAACAAAGCTTAAAGGGTCTACTGTGTGTGGCCAGGCCCCAGGATTATAGTTTCTCTACTCTGAGAAAAGGCTCCTAAACCAAGTGATAACTCAACTACAGCTAATTGATAAGCATTACTGAAACCGGACAGTGAATGGCTCTGGGCTGCCTGTCATTACTTGAGCCAATTAAGCAGAGGCAGCATTGAATCATATATGAGTGTTTATTCCAATAATGCAAGCAGTATGGGAGAGCAGCAGGTCATCCACAAAATCTGCTATCCCCGCTCCCCATAAGCCAGCTGTTTATATTGGGTAGAAGGACAAAGATTACATGGGAGAGTAGGCAAAAAAGGTAAGAATGGGTATGCAAAGTGGGCAGTTTACTGGCAGTGTGGGTTGGGGTTTGCCAAAGCCTCGGGGTATGCAAAGGGCTGGTGCCTCTGGTTGTTAATCTTCCCATGATAACTGGCAGCTCCCAGCTGTAGAGAATGGGCTGAATTTCCAGGTGAGCTCCCAGGTCCCCCTCCCAGCCAGGTTGGAATGTGCATTCTTTAATCAGAACAAAACAACCATGGTTAACATAGCACGATTAACATTGCTTATCATTATAGCTAGTCCCCAATATTCAATTTTTGCCCCTAACATTACCATGGTTTCATGTGCAGGGGAGAAGGAATTGGGGGTAGGGAGGAAATAGTTTTTGGAAGCTGAGGGCACCTCAAGACGACTCTGGGGGAGGTGGTTGGTCTGAAGGTGGTTGGTCTGGTTGGAATGCGGTTGGGTGGAGAGCAGAGTCAGGAAATGGCAGTTGAGCAGGCAGAACAAACTAAAACTTCCTGTTTAGAATCCTATAAGGTCTTAAGGTCGTGGGGAGGCATTATAGGATTTGGAAAGTTTGGACTTTATTCTGCAGGTACTTGGGGGTGTTGGGAGGGTGAGCAAAGATTTTTAATCTTAATTTACATACATAATAAGGATAATTTAAAATACATTTAAAAATACACGTCATCATTGTAACAAAATATTTTTCTGTGTATATTTCCTTTGTTCACTGTCCATATGAAATATATTTTACATAATTGTACTTATAGTATATGTTAAGTCTGATCAAATAATTGAATCCACACCCCCTCCCTTGGGAACTGACCTTTAGACCACTTCACAACCTACATTCCCTTTAGCTTAGACCACATTCCACTTGCTAAGACAACATTCCACTTGCTAAGACCATTATCTTTCCCCTCAGGACCTGCCCGGAGAATTCTCCACCCAGAAAAAGCCAATTCCTTTAAAATCTCTGACTCCCCATGCCTGCGTGCTGGTGCCATTTTGGAGCTCAACCCATTTGGTTATCCAGATGACCTAATACATTTATAATTCTGTACCCCTTTTGGCCTCGTGTGTTTCTTCTTCAGCAATCCTAATGTTTGGTGCCGAAACCAAATTCATGAATCCCTTTTTTTTTACACCTATTTTTACTGTGTGGAATCACCGTCTTCTACCCCTGATACATGTATTATGTGTGTGTTTTAGTTTTCTTTGCCTTGTATAGTTTTTGTTACCTCCAAGTTGTTTTTCCTCCCTCCCTTTCTTCCTTTTTAGATGGCTGTACTTATTATTTCACATTTTTTTGTTAATTCTCACCAGAGTGTGTGTGTATAGGGAGAGGGAGGGATCGAGCCCACAACCCAGACATGTGCCCTGATGGGGAATCGAACTGTGACCTCCTCGTTCATAGGTCGATGCTCAACTACTGAGCCACACCAGCCAGGTGAGGATATATATATATATATATATATATATATATATATATATATATATATATATATATAATTTTTGTTGTTGTTGTTAATCCTTACCCAGGGATATTTTTCCATTGATTTTTAGGGAGAGTGAAAGAGAGAGGGAAAGACAGAGAGAAACATTGATGAGAGAAACATATCACTTGGTTGCCTTCTGCACAAGCCTGCAACCAAAGTACATGCCCTTGACTGGAATTAAACCCGGGACTTGGCCTCTAGGCTGATGCTCTATCCACTGAGCAAACCGGCTGGAGCAAAGAAAAAAAAATTGCTCTTCAGAGAGTGGAAGAGAGGAGAGAGAGAGAGAGAAAAAAATGTTGATGTGAGAGAAAAAAACCAGTGGACTGGTTGCCTCCAGCACATGCTCCCATGGGGGTGGGGGGGGGGGCGTGCAAACCCACAACACAGGTAGGTATATGCCCTTGACCTGGAATCGAACCCTCGACCCTTCGGTTGCCTGGGCTGACGCTCTAACTACTGAGTCACACCAGCCAGGGTTAGTTCACATTTTAAAATTAGCTTTCTG